ATTTAAAATTTATCAATATATGCCATCAGTGGCATCAAGCTTTCAAAGTAGTTTTATATGTATTTTTTATTTGACTTCATTAAAATGCTACTTAGGAAGAAGATACCAATCTAACTTAAAGATAAGAACATAATCTGAAAAACACCGATTTACTCTGATCTCATTTATAGTTAGCAACCCTGGGGGCTTCACAGATCACAGTTGCTACTACTAAACTGAATAATTGACTACTGAAAAGATATTTAGATAGGATTAGACCTAGAAGGAAATCTGTGTTCATCAGGTCACCAGTAGATCCATACCTGTCCTTGAGCCAAACTCCCCATTCACTAATGTGCTCTGTTACTGAGTTTCAAACTATAGAAAGTAAAGTAGCATTATGTAGTAATTTCATTAAACCTTCCATTTTACATTACTCCTATCTAAAAGTGTGAAAAACTCAATATTCTCCCAACTTTGAATCTTCCAAATTTATTTATTCAATTTGAAAAAGTTTGATTTATATTTGTTGCAGTACATTTGACAAATACAGAAATAAAGTAAAGTAAGTTATATTTATACTTTATTACCCTAAAATTTCCCTTGTCATCTGATCCTAGTCTATCTTTCCTGCTTCATTTCCAACTATATCCACTCTTCTAGTCACAACAGATTATTCCTTAAGAATGCCCTGTACTTTTCTTGGTTTCCTCTGTTGGAAATTCCCTTTCCCACCCACTTCCTCTTATTCAAACCTTACTTCTTCTTCATGGACCAGATTAATACATGCAGACTTCCTGATCCATAAAATCAAAATTAATTTCTCCCTCCTACATGCTGCTACTGTGCTTTCTCTGAGCTTGTGTTCCATATAGAGTTCACTGTGCTCAGATGGTTATCCATCAGGCTCAGCTGGGAGCTCTTTTGGTGGGCGAGGGTAGTATCTTTATATCTACTGCATGACGTCATCAGTATCTGGGGGGTGATACAGGGGGGCTTGCTGAGTGTAAAGCACCTAGCAAACATAGTGCACCTTGGCATGTTTACCTCCTTAACCTCTCATCTGGGCTCCCGCCCCGTCATTACAAGGGTGACCTTTCCAAAAAGAAACTAGATTATGTAACTTTCCGTTTCAATCTTGAAGTTGTTCTCTACCACCTAAAGGACAGAGCTCAGGTTCCAAGCACATGATTCAAGGCAGGCCCGTCATGACCTGCACTACCCTTCTTCTCTAATACTTTCTACCGACCTTCCGGAGGACATGCATATCTGTGTACACAGACTCCTTCAGGTACCACGGTACCAATCTCCCCTATGCCCTGCATCTGCTGTCTGCATCCTCGGTACCCAATTCCAACCCCCACCTGGTAACCAGATGCAGGGAAAATGTAAGATGGTGCTTACGCTCCTCTAGTCCAGGTATAAAACCATACCAAAGAATCCCATTTCTCCAATCAGATGGAAATGCAACAGCCAGTAATGAGTGCTGAAAGGCAGACAGACTGCTGTAGAGGAAGCACTATATGGAGGCTGGGTAGCAGCTCTGTCAGAAAAGTAGGAGTTCCCAACCTTTACAAAAGATCAGGTGAGGTGAATCCCTTCGGACAGTCTACTTACATGTCTGATTTACAGTTTTGTAAAGGTTTTGTGTGTTTGGATTCTGTTTTAACCTATTCAGATGGCAGGTGTTCATCTACACTAATCTATAGCAATTTCAGTGTTCATAAAGATCTACACACTATGAATAATCAAACATACTTTCGTTTTGAAAAAGCAGACTGAAATTATTTTTTTCTAATGCAAATATGCCTTTTATGTTGTTTTACTTTTAAAAAAAGAATAAACCAGTGTTTTATGAAAAATCCTTGGAATAGTGACTTTCAGTTTTTGTGCAGTTTGGGGACAGAACTCAGGGTCTAATGTATACTAGGCAAGTATTCCCTCACTGAGCTCCATCGTTGGCCCCTAAAAAACTTTACTGAGATAAGGTCTTACTGGGTTGTCTCAGGCTGACCATGAAATCACTCTGCAGCCCAGACATGCCTGGACTTGGAAAACTCCTGCCTCAGTTTCCAGAGCAGCTGCAGTTATAAGTAAGTGCCAATACTCCAAGCTTAGTAGGAGTCTTATACATAGCAAGAGATTTGGAATCTCTTGGATTTACGTCGTGTAAATTATCATTTCATATTACAATCATATTTACATCTCGAATAGTTTCTCTGCCCTTACACTGCATTCTCTTTCTGGAGGCTGGCACCCTAGGCTTTGCTCCAGGCCACACATCAGGACATTAGCAGATGTTCTGTTCCTTCCACACCACTGATAATTGTTACAATCAACTGACACACCATAGAAACAAACTATGGAGGGTCACTTGGTCTCTTTACAAGGCCATTGTCTTCTATCAACATTTGGGTATAATATCAGAAAAGACAAAACAATCTGCATACCAACTTGCTTTTAACTTTATTTAGCACAGTCACCAATGCTACTAAAAAATACAAAATGGCTAAGCAATGAGCATATCTTCATTACTAGTTAATTGAATAGAAAAGCCTAGTAAAGGCCTTTATCCATCTGCTAAAATGTAAGCACATTTTATTCCAAAAGTCTTATAATATATAGCACAGGCTAAGGAGGAAGAGGAAGAGAAAGAAAGAAAGAAAGGGAGGGAGGGAGGAAGGAAAAAGAAAGAAAAGAAAGAAAGAAGGAAGGAAGGAAGGAGAGAAAGAAAGAAAGAGAGAGAGAGAGAGAGAGAGAACTTTATTTTTACCTCACTGGAATATTAATAAACTCTACCTATAAATATAATAGTGAACATAAGAACAAATAAGTAAGGCTGAGGAATGAAATGTTTTCTTAGCCTTCAAATGCTAGGCCATTCTCTGGAGGCATGGACATTAGAAAGTCTCACCTACCATCATAACAAATGTACTGTCACAGGCCTGTTACTGAATATTTCTGCGGTAACAAGGCAAGTACATATAAACTTCACTGAAAACCAAATCTTCCCAGCCTCCAGCAGATATCAAACACAAGGGCCCCGCCCACTCCAGTCTTTGTTCCAGGCCTGCACAGGATTCGCCTGAACACTCTGAAGCCATGGCAAGGGTGTTTGGTTCTTTTTTTAAACTTTTTTCACAAAGATGGTTTTTAAGATATTTCAAGTTACTGTAAATATTTTGAACAAATAAGCATATCTAGAAAACTTCTAATAATTTGTAATGATTAACAGAACTAAAAAAACTAAACACCCAAAGGAAAGGAAATGGGAAGATATTACATAATGTTCCAAGTTAGGAAAACTCTTTATAGAATCAAGAAAAATCAAATACACAGCAAAGAAGAAAGAACAAATCTAACTTCCTATCTGTCAAGTACATATCTATCTTTGATCTCATGAATCTCTAAAGCAAATAAAGAACACAAATTAGAAAGAAATTATATAACAAGTTAACGCATGTGAATTAATATCTGTGTTTAGTCACAAGAAAAGGACTTTTCAGTCACAACAGAAGCCTGTCAATTCTATTTTGAGACTGTTTGAACAAGATAATTCTTAAAAAGCAGCTAAGTCAATGCCATACATTTTAAAATGGAAAACACACTAAGTTAACTATACAGATAGGAAGTAAAAACAGGAAAATGAATTAAAGAGATTAAAAAAACACAGAGTAGGAAAAAAGTCACACACATACAAAGTTAACCTTTAAAAATCTGGCAACCCACTAATAGACTTCAAAGTAAAAAGAGAGATCCTCTTTAAGGTTTCAAACTCGCACAGGTGCATGTAATGGTAAATGACTTTTAAAACAACATATGTGCACATATACAATGAAAGGACTGAGCTAGACGGTGTACTTACAAATATATGCACATGTAAGTGGCGCCGGTCAGGGCGGTGGTAGGACAGTAACACTACTAACCATGCAAGGTGGCAAAGGAATGGATTACTCGAGAGACTGCTGACACTTTCTTCAGACCCGGTCATTATTAATAGTATATACTGTATCTGCTTTGAAAAGAACAACCTAAGTGTTTTATTCAATAAAATAAGTCCATTCATCTAGATGATTCACATTGATGAAATACTGTATTAGTGTTCGTTAAATTTTAAAACTCAGTTGAAAAGTGGATTTTCTTTGGCTTTCGGTTTTTTAGAAACAAGATCTTACTACGTAGCCCAGGCTGACTTTCAACTATAATCCTCTTGTCTCAGCCATCCAAATGCTAGGATCACAGCCTACTATCCTAACTTTAGAAAGCGGATTCCTAAACCACATGCTAGAGCTACCAGTGAGGATTTGTCTGTTCAAAGAAGAGAGGATCTAAATATAATAATATAATGGATCTAAATATATAATATAATGTTTGCTTTCTTTCTTTCTTTTTTTCCGTTTGGTTTTTCAAGACAGGGTTTTTCTGTATAGCCTTGACTGTTCTGGAGCTCACTCTGTAGACCAGGCTGGCCTCACAGAGATCCGCCTGCCTCTTGCTGCTGAGTGCTGGGATTAAAGGCGTGCTCCACCACCACCCAGCCTAACATATATATCTGACGAAAGGCGAACACATCTGATACGTTTTCCTAAGGTCACTGGATGTGTGCTCACCACAGGGATGAGGCACCCCTTCTAAAGTACAGCCTGTCTAAAGTACAGCCTGAGACGGCCTCTCTGACAAGGCACTGAGCGAGGATCGGCTGAGAAGAGGGAGTGGTTTTACAGAGTGGCTCAAAGGAGAGCGCCGAGGGAACCAAGTACAAGGCCCGGCACAGGAACCCATTCACAGTGTGTGCGACGTCACCGGTCACCGGGTGTGCGACGTCACAGTGTGTCCGACGTCACAGTGTGCAACATCACGGGGTGTGCGACGTCACAGTGTATGTCACAGCGTGCGATGTCACAGTGTGTGATGTCATGGTATGTGTGATGTCATAGTGTGTGTCCGATGTCACAGTGTGTGCGATGTCACAGTGTGTGCGAAGTCACAGTGTGTGCAGGGCAGTACACGGAAGCCAATATCCCTGATACAAAAGCAAAGTCTAAGTGGTTCACGTCTGCAGAGACAAGGAGCAACAAGAGGCATGGAGGACCCAAGCATGCACAAGAAGACAGACCCATGCCTTTGCCAGATGAACATGGACTCGGGCACAGAATGGTAGGCTTGCTGGTAGGGAAAAAAAAAGAAAACATTTTCTCTCACAACTTCGGTTTTCTTAATGAAATACCAAGGTTATCCTCTAAAAGTAAGCAGTCAGAAGTCCTGAATGTTGCAAATTTAAAACGAGTATCTTCTAGGAAAATAAGACAATCAACAAAGGCAGCTGTCAGAAACAATGAAGCAGTTATTCGTCACTAAGCAGCTCCTGGAGCCCATTCCCACCTTAGCGGACCTGCCTTCCTCGCAGTCCTGAGAGAAGCAGTCTTACTGTATCACTCACATCCACTGAGCTTCTGCTTCATGGAACAGAAACCCCAAATAATATGATCGACATAATTTGAGGGTTATTTTGGCTCGTGTCAAAAAAGTGTTCAGAGTAGGAAATCCAAGCTGGAACTCTGGTTCCTACACTCCTAAGAATCCAGGTCCCTTCTGCAGTCTACATGACGACAGGGTAGAGGTTAGCAGGAGGAAGAAGGGGTCAAGGGGATGGCCTCTTCTTTGGTTCGTAAAACAAAACAAAAAAAAAAGGAAAACACAAAAACTGTTTGAGGAGCATGAAAAGCCCACATGGAGACAGACTGCAACCCAATGAAAAATGTAATCAGAGGGGACGTTAGAATCCATGTGACAGGAAACAGGAGTGGGGAGAATAGTGGGGGGCTACAGGTTTACGTGAAGATGGGGTGAGGGTAGAGGGGTGAGGTGAGAGCAGGGAGTGGCAGAGACTAAGGACGCATTAATAGTTCTTAAGCCCCACTGCTTTGTAAGCGAATAACAAAATCTACTTAAAAGATAAAAAGGAGCTTGAGTGGAGGTAACCGGCATGGGTGGACAATAATGTTCCCGGGAGACAGGGTTGTTAAATGGAAACTTCAGTGCCAGGAACGGATTGGCTCCCTCAAAAAGGTCCCGCAGGTCTCTAAAACGGCATGTGCTTCTGGCACCGTCTTTGGTTGCCTACCGTAACTATACACTAAGACGCTACTGCTGAAGACACCATATACTTTGGTTGCAGAATATAAAACAATAAATCTTGAATTGACTGAGAAACTTCCTTCACGCTGGCTAGCTTTTACAGTGCCAGAAAGCACTATGCAGACCCTCTAGGAGAAAAGGCATCAAGGGTCTGGACCCCACATTCTACAGCAGTGATCTGCCAGACAAATACATACCTACTGGTGCAATATTGACATGACTGTTTTAGGGGCAATGAACGACTTTCTGATAGACACAGGAGAAAATGTATAACTGGTACTATAAACCTGGTCAAAAGTCTATGGCTGCTGAGGTCATAGCCGCTAAACGGGAACCTACTGTTGATATTTTGCTAAATGTTCGTATTGTCAAACGGACTTCCAAGTATTTATGTTTATGCCTATAGATATGCACTGCTTTCAAACTTGGTCCAGAGAGAGTTCTTGATGCAGCTGGCAGAGGTTAACATGGAGACTCATAACTAAGAATAAGACACTGTGAATATTCAGCCCCAAATGGGACATCTGTGTCAACCCAGTCCTCAAGGCTCAGGGAACATTGTGGGAGAAGCAGAAAGAAGGCAAGAATCCGGCCAGTGACTCTGCTGCAGAAGACAAGAGCCCTTTCGACTGAGACCCCACCCCAAAGCCCCTGACTCCTTCCTTCCACAGGCCATCATCCAGCGCATGCCCGTTACCTGCTGCGCTGACTACAAGGCCACTGGTCACTGCCACGTGTGCTGCACATGTGCCACCACGCCCGTCCTGATGAACATCCTGAAGGAAGTCACCCAATGTGTCCCAGTGCTAGGCTTGGTGGATGGTTTTGGATTTGTGTTGACTGTTCATACTTATTTACTATATAAATATAATTTATCATTTGTATCATGAAAAAAAAAGAATGTAAGAGTTATAGGATGGGGAAGAGTACTGTGAGATGCTGCTGCATTCTAGACATGGCAATGCTACCTACCACACTCATAAACTCACCCAGCTGTGTTTACCTGTACAAGATCAAGCCAGTCAAAATTCCAGCATGGTTAACACAGAGGCTCACAAGGCCCTACCCCTAGATGAGAAGCTCTTCACAGCTGATGGCTTCTGGGGAAAAGCAGGTCATTTTTCTTTGGAGATGTGGCCACTGGTAGGTTGCTAATGCTCCAGTAGATAGGCCCACCCCCAGGTGTACATGGGCAGCACTAACTAGACTCAGTGGGATATAAAATGATAAAGATAGAGCACATGATGTTGGGAGCTGTTGTGTTGGGAGGCATGGGGGGATGGAAGGTTGAGTCCACGGAGTTTTAATGGGGTTATGGGGGTTGTATATGATCAAAGTACACTATAAACAAACACACACACACACACACACACACACACACACACACACATATATATACATATACATATACATATATATATACACACATACATACATGAAGTTCTCGAAAAATAAAAATTATTTGTAAAAAGAAATTTTATTTTATGTCTATGAGTGTTTGCTTTCACATATTCATGTCCACCATGTGAATGCCTGGCACCTACAGAAGCCAGAAGAGGGCATTGAATCTCCCAGAACTGGAGTTACAGATGGATGTGAGCTGCCTTGTGTGTGCTGGGAACCAACCCCAGGTCCTCTGCAAGAACAGCACATGCTCTTAACCACTGAGCCTAATAAAACACTACTACCACCACTACCACTACTACTACTACTACCACTACTACCTACCACCACCACCATTACCATTACCATCACTACCACTAATAATAAATATTAGGCCACTCCATGCTTAATAAAATTCATTGTTTTAAAAAAAAATTGCTCCACAGTGTGGCATACTTTTCCCTTACCTCATTAATCAGAATATGGTTATATGGCCACTCCCAGCTACAAAGGAGAACGGTGACTATCTCTTATCTGGGCAGTTATGAGTTCTGCTAAACACTAGAATACTGAGTAAAAGGGAAGACTGCCAATAAGATTCTGTCACCTGGGTAATCGCATTTGGGACACAAATCAAGACAATTTTTCTCTGAAGAGCTTGTGTACACTAGGAAACCAATTACTGCCTACAGGGAAACAGGCTTACAGAAAAGAAAAAGAACAGAGGAAAGTAGAGTCTACAGCTGCAGAGGAAGAGAAGATGGAACACTCTGACACCTGCTTGTCAGGAAGAGCCACAGCAACACTTTTATCTGGAGTCTGATCCTTCATCCAGAAACTCCCAAGTTTGAGCTAATATGAATGCATTTCTACTCCTTACAAGGAAATGCTCCTTAAGGTACCTCACCAGGAATTTATAATTTAATGTTCTGTGCGTGTGAAGGGTTTCTCCAGCACTTCTCAAAGTTATGGAAGACGTCCAGTGTCATCTTCCTTACCTCCTACATAAAGACCGGTAAAAAAGTGAAATACAGAGCCACTTTGGAAAAGTCTTCAATAACTAGAAATTGACACCCCTTTTGAAATTCTAGTAATGATGACTATATAGTCTTTGCTACTTCTCTGCTTGGGAGCAAGACAAAAATGGCAGAAAGATGATGATCAAACTTACCACATAATCACAGGTATCCCTAGAATTCCCGACCAAAGCAGAAACTACAGTAGATTCCATGGCTGTTCTAGCCATTTCCTGTTCCTGGCTGTGAAGGGGCTAAATTTCACTGAATGGACACCAGGCTTAACCACAGTGCCTGCTTTAGCTTCTGAGATGACGAAGTGATATGTTGCCTCCCAGCAGAAACCTGAGCTAGCCTGAGTCCATCATCACTCTCCCCTCTGTCATGTTGTTATCTCAGAAAGAAGCTGCACTAGGCCTTAGATAAAGACAATATGGTGCTGACTCGGAGCTCTTCACCAGAGCAAGACAAGAGCTGTTTCAAGCTACTGAAAATTTTGCCTGTCTATTTATATATTTACACATACATACACTTACTTATTTATCTGAGGGGATTGCCTCAAATTATTTATTCATCTGTCTTTGTCTCTCTTTATCTAACCGTGTGTGTGTGTGTGTGTGTGTGTGTGTGTGTGTGTGTGTGTGTGATGTATTTGAGTGTACTGGCCTGTGTGGGTGGCCAGAGGTTAATGTCCTGGTGTCTTCCTCAATCACATCTCCATCTTACTTCCAGAAATACGTTTTTCACTGAACTTGGTGCTCCCTGTTAGAAAACTCCCACGCCACGCTCTCTTCAGCTGGGCACATCTGCCTAGATCCTGTTCTCTAGGCGGGAAGAGGTGCAGATCATAACCTGGGTACTGGCTTTGCTACCATGTAGCCATGAACAAAAGGCAAGACACTTCACATTTTAGAAGTCTAGTATTTAGGTTTCTTTGTTTCATTTGTCAAAACAAGAATAACGGCACAAAGTATACCTTGTAGTTTCCTTGTGGTGGAAAAATACTTGGCCAACTGCCTAGCCATACTGGAAAAGTACAATAAGTAATCATCGAAGCCCAGAACAACTCCCGGCTTGAGAAACCTAAATATACTCAACGAACATGGAAAATCCAGGAGTTATCTGAAGGGTGCCAAATATCTCAAGAGTTGGGGCACAGTAAGGGGGAACAGAGAAGACAGACCTAGACAGAATCACTAGCCATAAATTCCCTCAGGTCCTTGTACAATGTTACATACTTTGTGTAAACAGAGACATTTGAATCACTGGTGGCCCTTCTCTTCTTTCTTACAGCAACTGCACTTGCCTGTTTAGTGAACAGGTGAATTCACAGTGAGCAGCTGGAGACAAGAAAGCAACCAGTGGTTCAAAGTTCTTCAATGGAAATCCATTTTCCAGGGTAGAAAAAACTTTATCAAATGCTGAATGATTAAAGAAGGTTTCCCTGTAAACTTTCAATAATACATTTCAGATGTACAACTCTACTCCCCATAAACAGCACATGTTGCAAGATCAATAGATTGCAACTCTCAAGGGTAGTACAAATAAATATATTCTAAAGACATGCAAATGCCTCTTGCCTGTTTTGACAGGATGCTCTTCCCCCAACGCGCATTTCACAGCTTCCTGTCTGCCATACGGAATCTAATTTTAAAAACAGCAGAGCTGTCATATTTCTGGAGCACTTAAGTTCAAGTCTATGGGGAGTGAGGGGTTAGCTTGAAGGTGACCCCTTGCATATGGATTAACTAGTTCTCAGTGAACTGACTTGGCATTTTTAAAGTGGTATATTATTTCGAACAGTTCAAGAAACAGTTTTGTTGAGAATATCCCAAATTCCTGCAATACAGCTCCAAACAGAATGATAAAGGAAACTTGCCAGAAATACTAAAGTATAATATGGTTTATATTAGAACCGATACTATTCCAAAATTTTAACCATAACAGGTAAAGACAGTAAAACAAACCATCCAGTCTGCTTGGAAAGCCCAGCAGCATCACTCTAAAGAACTGAGCTTGATGCACGAGTGCTAGCATTTAAAGAGGGGCTCCAAGAGATGCTTTCTTACTAGAATCGGGTGACTCATATGAACCCTGTGGTGCCTGACACGCTCTGCAGCCCAGGTCGATCTGCAGGCATGGACCAGCACCTCTGCCCCCCTCTTGCTTTTCCTAAGGTGGCCTTTGATGTTCTTCTGGGATATCCTACCACCTTCTCATTGTCCACGACACTTGGCACACATGTCTAGTAGAGAACCTGCCATATTGACTTTCTACAATTCTTAATTTTTCACAATTTGTGTTTGTTAAGAACAAAATAATTCGTTCTCGAGTCTGGGAAGGTCAAGTTTAAGCCAGGTGCAGCTGGAGAGGGCCTGCTCTGTGTGTGTCAACCCTTTTTATCAGTAGCCCATTGCCCAGATAACTAACCCACTGTTAGAGTAATCACATCAATTAGTGTGATTGCCCTCGTGCCCTGATAACCACACTTCAGCCCTCCATCTCTCAGCGCTGCTGCACCTGAACGTTGGGAGATGCATCCACACATCACCAATTAGACAACGGACATCTGCTGCACCTGAACGTTGGGAGATGCATCCACACATCACCAATTAGACAACGGACATCTGCAGACAGAAACCATTTCTCTTGTATTTTCAGGTTTCCGGGGCCTAGTACACAGTGTTCAGCCAAAACATCTCCTGGAAATATATTTAGATCACTATTACTCCAGACTAAATAAATAATTGCAAGTCTTATGTGTAGACCAATTATCCAGAATTGAAGCCATGCGTTTCTCTTTCTTTATGTCTTTTTACTCCTTGCTTCAGTCCACACCACAAGACAAGAGAAAGCAAAGACAAACTGTATCCTCCAACTGCTCAGTTCCATTCATTGCCTGTAAAAGTCTGAGGAGACGGTAGATGATGCTTCTAAAGCTTTAAGTTAACTGGCTGGAAGGCCCACATGCTTTGATCTTTTAAATTTTACTATCCTTTAAAAATTGTGCCATCATTTTTAAAGTGTGTTATCTTTACTGTTTAGAAATTTAATTATCAAGCTACCTTTTTTTAATTTGCAAAAGGAAGAAAACAAAACTCATGTACCATGGAAAATTTACACTTTTAAGTGTGACTTTGAATCAGAAGCAGAACATGTGTGTGATAACACTCAAGTCTGAGACTTAAACTTTTTTTTTTTTTGAAAAATCTAGAAATCCTAGAGGGGAAAATAATTCAAAATTCCATGAGACATCATAGTCACATATTGCAAATTCAACAGAGGAAGATGAGAGGGATTAAAGTTAGTTACATGAAACTTAAGTGTTCATCCATGCCTCAGGAGTTATTAATATATCGCTTATGACATTATAATAACATATTGCATAATTTGAAGCCTAATTCACAAGATCTTCTTTTTTTACTTTAATATTTGTGTCTAACCACTTGGAACCATGATTGCATTTTTACACATTAAAAATTAAATCA